GGAAAAAATTAGTGAGTACCTTCTACATTACCAGCGACTCTCATAGCTAAATCGAACACCAAAACTAACCACAAAAAAGCCGACATCATTCGCTGCATCATTTGTCCTTTCTTTTGCTAGCTAAAACCCAGTTTACTTCATTGCCGCCCGAAACAACAAAATCAAGTGAAGAGAGTTTCCAGTCAAGGACTCATCCAAACAGGAAAACAGGAAAGAAAGCCCAGAAGTGTATTTCCCATTGACCGAATCGCAAATGAAACGGAAGCCCTCGCAAGATGACCGATTGATATTAAAAACCAGAAAATAATTTATTTGACTTTCTATAATGCAAAGGGGAATTCAAGCAAAGATAGATTGTGCTACAAAAATAGGAAATCAGGGAAGAAGAATTCAGGTTAAAAATTAAACAAGACAGGTATTGGAAGAAGAAATTTCTTCAACGGGGTTGGTTTTGTGAGATTGGCAGACGAGCAAAAACGGTAGAAAGCAGTCGAGAAGGGAAGCGGGTCAAAGACGCACGCGCACCAGCCGGACCCACCATCGCAGCCTGCTTGCCTAGAAACTCCGATAGAGAATATAATATTTTAATATTTATGGCTCAAAATTCATACTTAGAAATGGAAATTGAATATGCATTTATTTTATTTGTGGATAATAAATTAATAATTGCACATGCAAATGGTGATAATATGGTGAATTTATTTTAGCACATCAGCAATTTATTTTTATTTGATTTAATGTTTTTCTTGATTTTGTATTAAATTATTTTTTGTATTTTTAAAAATATTTGAAAGTATCTTTTCATTATTAATTCTAACATTGTTAATTTGATACGGAATATTATTTTATAGAACATTGATATATATTATATATTTCGTAATATTTAATGTGAAAAAAATTATATATAAATATCAATCTTATATTTTAAAAATAATAAAAAAAACAAAATATAATTTGACCAATCTCAACTCCCAATTTTTGAACCCTTATCTCTCTTCCCTTATTATCTCTTTCGAGCTCAAAGGAAGAACTTTACCCGTGCACTACTGTTTTCTTATAAAACACTGAAGATTTATGTTATTAACAAAACATCTAACGTGGCACATGTCATGAATTAGCGTTCAACCAAAAGATGTTACATGTCATTATTGGTTACACGTGGTATCAAGTATTACGGGTGTTAGAAATTAATATTAGGGAATGACCTATTCAAATATTTTTTTTGAAGTATAGGTACTAACTTAATATAAATTGAAACAAATTTTAAGTCAAACAAAAATAATAAACTAAATTTGTATTTTAATCATATGTCTCACTAGTTAAATTTACCATCAAGTCAACTAATAATGTACCTTCTTATATATTAAAAAAAAAGTGCAAATACAGAATTTTTAGGAGGAAAAACTTATTTTTTATTTTTAACAGATTTTAATATATTGTAAGATACATACATACTAATAATAATAACATCTTCTAACAAAAACACGTAATATACATAATTTTACACAATCTCCTAATGTTAATGTTAATTTTTTTTTATAGAAAGTTAACAAATCATATAAAAACTCGTACATTTTTAATCTTCTATTAAATTTACAAAAGTTCAAGCATTCATATAAAAGGTATATAGGTTGCAATAGGTATGAGTTTTAACAAATCCTAATATAACGTAACTTTCAAATGTTTCATAAAGATGTACTTTTTATCTCACTTATCAATTATAAATTTGCCTTAAATTTTTTTTTTTTATATATATTTACGATGATGAAGGAGTGATTCATCGAATACCACAAACCATATTTGCTTCTATTTATTTTGTAATGATGACACTTTATTAATATGTTATATTCGCATTAATTGTGTAATTGAATTTTTTTAAAAAATTAAAAACTACGCTAACTATTTAATTAATAATATTATGTAATATCTACTTAAGTAAATTAATTTTTTATAAATTAATAAAAATGAGATATTTTGTATATTTTATTTTATTCTAATTTAAATTGTATTTTAATTTAACTAATCATGTGTAAATTAATTTAAAAAAAAAAAGGAAAGCAATTGAAAAGAATAAAAAAATTCCTAAGAGTGAAGAGGTGGAAGCTGATCCCACCGTTTGGGGGGGAAACCCAGGCAATGAGGGCTGCTGCAGCTAGCTTGCTAGCCAGCTGTTCAGTCAACCAGTCTTTCTCCTTCAACTAGCTGCTCACATGGCAGTAAGGACACGCACAATGTGCGTGTGAGCTGAAAGAAGAAAATGGATGGGGATTGCCATTTAAAAGGCTTCCCCATTTGTTCTTCCTCTTCCCTACTTCGTCTAAGAGAGAGAGCCAAACTTAGCGTGAAACAAGAGAGAGAGAGAACTAGAAAAAACGAAAAAAAAAATAGAGGGTGAGTTACGTACGTCTCTGCCAAGAGAACCCAGCTTTTTTCCACGTCTATGTGAGTTTCTTTCCCTTCTCGTGATTCGTATCTATCTTCCCCAGCTTCTTATCATCTTCTGTAACCATTTTAGATGCCCAGAATAGTGGAACAACTCCAAAACAGAAGCATTCTTCCTCTGCTGCACCTGCATGCATTGCAGCTTGGGTGAGTGTCTATTTTCTTGACGGCAACTTAGTGCTTCAATTCCTAGCAATTTTCAAGTTCTAGATTAGTTAAAATGATGCCTTAAGATGATTATAAATTAATTTCCCATGATAGAAACACCCCAGAACCCACGAATTCGACTGAAAATCGTTATTGACTGCGCACCACCGCACAGACGAGTTGCGGACTATTTTTCTTGTTGCAAATATCTTCCATTCGTACGTTTTGAATTATGCTTCATAAGTTAGTGAGGTAAGAAGGACGGTAATCTAGTTTATACAAATTTAGGGTTTTATAGATGCATAAAGAGGGTAAAAAGTATGTGAAAAAAGGCTATGCTTGCTGTTTTAATTAAAGCAGAAGAGTGAATGTGTGCATGCATGTCTTTAGCGTTTAAAATTGTGTTTTTATGTTTAATGAATGAAGTAAAATGTTTATTAACATACCTACTTGAATATAAATGCATCACTGTGGTACAAAAATAAGAGAAATTGCTAACAGCGTTTTGAATGCAAGAAAATGGGAAAGTTGGGGAAAATGGGAAATTGGGTAAAACCGGAATGAGAAATGGAATTTTGGATAAAATGGAGAAATTGGGGAATTATTGAGATTCAGGGGAAGTCAAATAAATAATTAAAAATTAAAATTAAAACTAAAATTCAATAAATAAATAAAATTTCCTAAAATTTAAATAATTAATTAAAATTAATAAAATGAATTAAATTAATAACATTATTAAAATTAACACTTTAAATAAAACTTAAGAGAAAAAAAATTATTTAAAATTTTAAAGTTAGAAATTAAGATTAGAATTAAGAATCAAGAGAAATATAAAATTAAGAGTTCATGACTTAATTTACACAGAATCTAGTAAAATTTGATTCGTTTAATTTCGCTTGAAAGGTTTGATTGTATTATTTTTGAACTCAATCAGAGTGCGGGTGCTGCTTCTTGAATTCCAAGTTCGGGACCTATGTTCGTTAAGATAGAAAACTAAATCATTGAATTCATGTTATGGTGATCGAGTAAGACAGAGTGATGACGATCGAAGTGGTTTAGCAACTGTAATTATTTGACGCCTATTAATATATTTATTGATTGATTGACGTCCTCACTCGTTACTTTGGTCAACGTTCATATTGCCTCCTTGAAAAATAAATATAAATGGCCACGTGCATGAGATTATAAACAATGTAATTAAATTAAATCTTAATAAATATAATAAAACTCAAAAATAAAATCTAATCCAGTGTGCGTGCATTAGGTGATTCAATATCATATTGATTGCCATTGACATTATTAAATTGTGCAGGTTATGATTGAATATGATATTGAGCTGTGACATCCCAAACCTGGTACCAAGGGGTAAGCCACCAACCATTTTTCACAACAAAGCAATCAGGAAAATATTGACAAATACAGTGAACTACATCCCTTGAAGGGGTAGAGCGTCATACTTCGCCCATTCTAGTTCTAACACAACACATACAATATCCTTTCTAAAGTACTAGACGAGAAAATCCCAACTCACAATAAGTATTCATGTACATATGATTAGCTGTTCGTTGCACATATATATGCGTATGCCATTCCTTTACAATGTTCCACATTCAAGTTTGGTCATCCTGAAAAAAAGAATA